ATAACCTTCGACCTATAGTCTGTGAGGGTGGCATAGAGATTGTGGGAGTGGCCTGAGAGCCATACCACGATAGTGAGCCCACCCCTGACGCTGCCCGGAGGGCCAGAACCCGGAGGCTGAATGGCCCAGAGACCTAAGACAGAACCAAACACAACTGACAAAAAGAAAAAAGAAAAAAAAAAGGTCAATGTAATGCAGCCTAATGATGTTCCTCTATACTCGTAGACTGGTGCCTAGCCAGTTGTCATCAGAGAGGCTTCATCCAGTAACTGGTGAAACAGATGCACAGACTCATAGCCAAACATTAGGCAGAGCTCTGGAAATCCTGTGGAAGAGGCAGAGGAAGAATTGTGGGAGCCAGACAGGTCAAGCACAGTACATACACACACACACACACACACACACACACACACACACACACACACACACCAAAAAAAAAAAAAACCCCACAGAATCCACTAATCTGGGCTCATTGGGCCTCACAGAGACTGAACTGACAACCAGGGAGCCCGTGTGGGACTGACCTAGGCCCTCTGCATATATGTGACAGTTGTGTAGCTTGGTCTTCTTGTGGGACTTTTAACAGTGGGATCAGGGACTGTCTCTGACTCCTTTACTGGCTTTTAGGACCCTATTCCTCATGCAGGGTCACCTTGTTTAGCCTTAACGTGTATTTTTGGTTGTGAGCGTAGCCTTTAAAGGCTGAGCCATCTCTCCAGCCCTTGTTTAGCCTTAATACAAGGGGAGTTTGCTTAGTCTTACCGCAACGTGGTATGCCAAGTTTTGTTGATATCCAAGAGAGGCCTGCCCTTTTCTAAATGGAAATGGAGAAGGAGTATGTGTGTGGGGCAGAGGGGAGGTAGGAGAGGGACTGGGAGGAGAGGAGGGAGGGAAAACTTTATATATATATAAAGTTTATGTACAAAGGAAGAGCAAGCCCAGAGAGATTGTACATGGGTTACCCAGCGAAGAAACAGAGGTGTTGGCTCTCAATTAAATATCTTCAAAATATTTATAATGTTATATATATATATATATGATTTTGTAGTCACAGGTAGGACTCCTGTTGGTAGTTTCTTAGGCTGCAAACTCCGACCTTCTAAGAGCTCTGTTCAGCTTGTTTGGCATCATCCTTAGCCCTCAACATCAACACCCTCAGTCATAAAGTAATGCCAAGCACTCCCAAGAGGGCAGAAGACTCACCTGCTCCTACACCTCCACTTTATTCTGCGTGTCAAGCCCGGTGCGGGGTAATACCAGTGCAACCCAGTGCATGTCTACCCATGGGAGGTGGCTCCTGAAACCCAAAAGCGACGTGGGCTGCCATTTTCACTCAGGTTTCGGACAGCTCTGGTCTCCCCTCCTGCCTCCTGCTTTCATGAATTTCCAGTTCCCCTAGCCTTACCCCATCTGTGACAGAAGCTTAATGGGGTGCAGTGGCAGTCCCTGAATTAGAGCAGAGAAAAGGAACTAAGGAACTAAGCTGAAGCTTCCAGTCGCCCAGTGTAGAGCTAAGTGCAGCTGCTGAGACGAACTGTTAACCACCACATTTAAACCCAGCCCAGCCTTCACCGCTCTGTCACTTCATGTCATGAGGCCCACACCGGGGAGGAGGAGGACAGTAGTAAACAGAGGCTTGACCTTTCCAGCCAGTCCCATAGCTGCACTTTGGGTCGTCGCCATCCCCCTTAGAGTTTGCTAGAATTGGCTGGAGAACAGTCCTTGACTCAAACGACTGAAAAATATACTTAACACCACATTGATTTTCCATATAATTTTATAAGCACAAACATTCTCTTTCATTTCCTGACAAACAACTAGATTCCCCAAAGCGTCCAATAAAAATCAGTAATTTGCACATCACTGTCTCTCTCAGAGGCGGCTGTTGGGAGTTAGTCATCAAGGCCAAGGTCCTGCTACTTCCACCCCCTCCCCAAACAAAGCAGAAAGTTCAGTGGGTTGGTGGCCTGCTTTATAGACTTCCTGATGCCTGGCAAGTGTGCTTACTCTGTAAGCAGAGAGGGAAAGCACCACCCTACACACGACGCGGCCCCACATCTCTGCCACCACAGAGGCTGCTTGGGTCCGCTCCCTGCCCGCTCCCCATAGCCATGAGAGAGAGTAACTCCTTCCTGCATGTGTCAAACTAGAATGATTAACTCAATGACTGACAAGTGCCTGAGGCTAAATGGGCATCCAGTGCTCACTGGCAGGTATTACTCCAAAGTTGCATCATCGAACAAGCAATGACTGGATTGAAGACTGGAAGCAGGCGGTTTTCCATCCTAGGAATCTACATATCATGCCCAGAGCCAGGTACACACAGGGTCCTCCTCCTTCCTCTGCGAGGTTCCTAACTTTAAGCATAGCCTTTCCCCTTGCCAGCCCCTCCCCATCCAAGCGGCAGCCAGCTGCTGCAGGGGGCGGGGACAGCGGAGAAACGGAAAAGTAGAGATTCTTACCCACAAGTCTGGTCTCTTCAGGTCCCGGAGAAGCGCAGTTCTCAGGAGACAGGGCACCAGGGTTGCCAAGGGAACCTGAAAGACTAGTTTGCCACAATCCTGCAGGAATGACGTCCCAGGGGTGAGTAGGGAGGTTTCAGTCATTCAAAACCGCTGAAGCTCAAGAGTCTGAAGAAGAAAAAAGGAAGGAAAGGCAAAGAATGTCTCTCAGCGGCCCGGCAAGCAGAGGAGTCCAAATTCGGGGCTCTTCCCATCCCCACCCAGTGCTGGTTGTCAGGGAGCCTGTGTTCTTGCTTCATGTTTCAAGGCTGGTGTTTTCATCTCTCTTTCCTGAGCCCTGGCACTGGGGAGCATGGAATGGCTCAACCTGTTGTAATCGAACATGTGGGTTGCTGCTTGTTGCAAAGATATTGCAGCAGCCTCTTCATTACAAGAGGCTGTTCTTGGATTCAAAGAATTAATTTCCTTGCCTGTGGGTGCCTGCTTGTGCTCCCGGATGTAGATGGAGCAGGGTGATTGCTAAGAGTGGGGACTAGGGACACTGGGAGCGGGGGTTCTGATCCTGTGTTCTCTGGTTTTCACTGTCTTGACTGATGTCTGGTTCTTAAGAGACGAGGTGTAGGAGTCTCCTGCCATCATCCTTACGTAGGTGGGACTCAACCCCAGAGTTTAAGGCCGACTCTTGGAATCGCAGTGGTCCCAGTATCTCAGGCTCTCTCATCACAGGACATAGTCTGGGTGGGACTGTCCTAGGAAAACAGGGAAGGCACTCATGCCCCAATTTGCTGGCTCCTTCCTCCCCTCATTCATTCATTCCTGAATGTGTGAATTCATCAGTCTATTCATATGCTCATCATTCATCCTTGCTCTAATTAGTTATATATTAATTTACCTATTCCCTCTTATGTTCATCCACCTATTCAGTATTCACATATATTTTTATTCACTCATTGACTGACACATTCATTTGTATTATTTATCAGGATTCATTTATTCACCTATTTATCTTTTCATATAATCTATATACTTAATAAACATGCATGCATTCATTTTGCATATATGAAGCATTTACTTTTAGTTCCAATATTCATCCATCCATCCATTCATCCATCCATCCAACCATGCAGTAAATCATTTTAAATTCACTGATTCATAGATTTGATAAATTTTCATCTATTTATGCACATATTCATACAATTCATAAGAATTCAAACAATTCTTTATTTGTTGAAAATGCATCTTAAATCTTATTATATGCTGAAAAAAAGAGTGGACACCAATTGGTAGCCCTGAAAATATACATGCAAGTAACATTATATGGATTCAACAAGCTAGATTTAAGAATATATATGTGTATACAAGTAGACATGCAAAAGCAATTGATGAAAAAGTCCATGAATTTGAAGGAGAGCAGAAACGCGTATATGGGTGGGTTTGGAGGAGGAAATGGAAGGGGTGGATGTTGTAGTTAAAATACAGTCTCCAAAATCAACAACAGCAAAAGAATGAACTCCTTATCAAACAGTGAATGAAAGAAGACACAGATGCAAGGAACTACTAGACTCTAACACAAGAAGGAAGATGATGAATTCCAGGGTGCAAAGGGGATGTGAGGAAAATTTGTAGGGAGATCTGAGAGACCTCCCCCTCCCCCGGGGGAAGAGGGCTGGACTTGGAATTGTCTTACAGAACATCAACCTTGAACCAAGTTCTCCGACCAGTGTAGCTTTGCACTAATTAGTTAACATCTCTGAATCTTTGTCTCTTCTGCAGAATGGGCATGAATTGGACTGAGGATATGGCTCAGCTGGTAGAGTGCGTATCCAGCTTGCACAAGGCTCTAACCCACATGAATGGGCAGTGGTTGCCCATACCTATAATATCGGTGGAACTCTGGAGTTGGAGGCAGGAGGATCAAGAGTTCAGGATCATCCTTAGCTATGAGTTTGAGTCCAGCCTGGGAACATGAGACCATGTCTCAAAATAAAATAAGGAGGAATACTGCCTCCTCTCTGCTCTGCGGGGCTGGAGCACCTAAGAAGGTCACAGATGTCAAGGACCTGGCAGTTTAAAAGCAGTGCTCTGTAAATGTTTATCTTTTCCCTCTTTCCTCTTCAAATTTCTTCCCTAAACCCCTGTCAGCAAGTTTCCCTTTCCCTTCTCTGGAGAGGGAATGGAAGGAGGCTGAAGGTGGTACTCACGGGGAGTGGCTCTAGGGACCAGAAGAGGCAGAAGTTAATCTCCCAAAGGCTTCTAGCCCTTGGGGGGCCCTGGAGAAATGCCCAGGGTAACTGTCAAATAGTCTTTCAGATGGAAAATCTGCCAAGTGAATCAGCCAAAGAAATCTATTACCATAGGATTTGCACAAACCCTCTGCACTGGGTGAAAGGGGAGGGTGGACTTTTATTAAGAACTGAGCAAGACCTGGGCTTGGCAGTAACTTTGGGAGGGTGTGTCCGGTGGGAGGGGAGGGATCTGCCTGGCAGGTGTGTGGGTTTGAGAGGACAGGAGCAGGAGTGCCACCTTTGGAGCAGTCTGTGCTCCCATGCAGGGCATGGGGAGATGCTGAGTGCTCTTGCAGTGGCCTCACGAGCCAGATGTTATTACAAGCCAGGAAACTCAGAGGTTCAGAAGTTTGTTCAAAGTCACGCAATTAATAAGTGGTAGGCACAGAATTTAAATGTAGGCTTACGTGAGTCCAGAACCTCTGCTTTGATCTGCCAGTACACCCTTGTTCATGAAGGTGGTCCATTGTCTGTGGTCATTTTTGTAAGGTCTATTAATTGGGGTGTTATGAAGGATCCTGAGTTCTTTACTGTCTTTTCAAACTGAAACTTGAAATGTGAAGAGAAGTAGGCCAAATCTTCAAAAGACTATATAACAATCTGGGGGCTGGGGGAATTGCTTTTGGTAAAGCACTTGTGGTGCAAATATGAGGGACTGAGTTCAGATCTCCAGCACCCACATAAAAGCTGGCCATAGTAGCACACATCTATAGCCAATTTCTGGGAGCAGGTGGAAATCTGCAGATTCCTGAATCCTGCCAGCTAGCCAGTCTAGCCGAATGGTGAGCTCCAGGTCCAGTGAGGGGGCCTGTTTCAAAAACCTAAGTTGGTGAGCAACAGAGGAAGATACCCAGCATTGACTTCTGCTCTCCACACACACACACACACACACACACACACACACACACACGTGCACACGTGCACATGTGCACACACAGAATTTAATTGGGGGTTATATGTAATATGCACTTGTGGTATATATTGTTGTTTTCTTTATTTTAAAGTATCTTTGGAAGTGAGGACATATGTCATCGAACACCAACAGCTCCCCTTTTGCTACATGGCAGCGGCCATGGGGCTATGGCTATCTTCACAGGAGTAGTTTCACAGTCTGTGCTTGCAGATGAGAACTGAAGAATGTGGCAGGCTCTGCACTTGTATTCCAGACCCACGACCACAGGTATGGTGGGACACAAAGGATCAGAATGCTAGCTAGAATGGATAAGGTCAGTGGCAGAGACTGAACTGTATTCCTTACCTCCTTGAAGTCCTAGGTCCTACACCTTGTGACATTGCGGTATTTGGATCCTGAGCTTCAGGAGGTAGTTTAATTAAAATGAGAGCCTTTGGATGGACCCTAATCCATTCTGGAATCCTTCAATAACAGAAATGAAGAGATAGAAGTGTACAGGGGCTGCTGTAGAGAGTCATGACTATGAAGAATCAGCAAGAAGGTAGCCATTTGCAAGCCAAGCCAGCATGCCTTAGAAGACACCAACCCTATTGGCACCTTAATCTTGGATTCCAGACTTTTAAAGAGTGAGAAAAATATTTGTTGTTTAGGATACCCAGGCTCTGTTGCTGGCTTATTAAGCCAGGGCATAGCTGTGGGGTTCAGGGTAAGGATGGGTGGGGATTTGGTAGCGACTGGAACAGTGGCCTTGCATCTAGCAGGAAAGGACCTTAGCATTTTAACCAGGCTCCTGAGCCAGCTGAGTCAGCTCTACAAGCATGCCCCAGATAAAGGAGATTGTGAGAAGGGGAGACAAGCCTGTGCTCCGAAGACACATTCGGAAGGACTCAGAGTGGCACTCGGAGAAAGACAGATGTCTGAGGTGTGACCATTCTTGCCCCATCAGGAGAATGGCCTAGGGTTTGGGTTTCCCATGGTAGTAAGCCTGAAGAGTTCCCAACAAAAGTGGCTGACTACATGCTGGTGCTATTTCCCGAACACTCTACCAGAGCTGCAGGGGAATGTTGTTTCTAAGGTGTAAGCTGAGGATGGCAGGAAGGATGGGTGCAAAGGTGATAATAGCTGACGGTAGGTGGCACGGGAAACAGTGGGGGCAAAGCTGGAGTTTTTACAATTGTCACCGTTGGACTTCCAAATGGCACAGGACTCGACAACTCCAACTGCAGCTATGTTGATATTTCATCTCTACCAGGAACTTTGGATTAATTTGTGTTTCCTCCTTATGACTCTTGACACATCAGAGGGTGATTTTGAAAAGAAATTCTGGGAATTAATCTTTTTTGTTGTTTTGTTTTGCAAGACAGGGTTTCTCTGTGTAGTCTTGGTGCCTTTCCTGGATCTCGCTCTGTAGACCAGGCTGGTGTTGAACTCATAGAGGTCCGCCTGGCTCTGCCTCCCGAGTGCTGGGATTAAAGGCGTGTGCCACCACTGCCCAGCTGGGAATTAATCTTATGGGTTAAACAATAAATATAAACACAATTTTCACTTTATTTAAGAGAAATGAGCTCCTTCTTACATAACCAAATAAGGAGAAATCAGCTGTCACTTAATTAAATGTTCAAACATGGAGTGAACAATAGGAGGTCCAATATTGGGCCTCATCAATCCTACAAGCAACTGAATGATCATTAATGATCATGTAACCAAGAGTAATGTAGCCATGGCCGAAATGCTAAGTGTCATCACATTCTGGACTGTTGGTAGAGGACACCAATAAAAAAGCAAATCTACCCATACAGAGTGTGTGTAATATGCATTTCACACGCGAAGCCTCTCATCGACTGTGCTGACTTTTGTCTATTAAAATAGCAATGCATACAATTCTATGTTAGGGGTAATGACTATGTTAGAATCGTTCATTTAACAGAAGCTGCCGGAGAACCAATGACCCACGGGACACTCCGCTGGAT